GAGTAAGCGGGATGATGGCTATCTTGGCTCACACATAATCATCGGACATTGCGGCGCTGTGTGGGTCGCTCATCAGTCAAATTGGCCATTCCAATCCAACGGCAAGACATTGTCCAAATTGTCCAAGACGATGACTCGAAAAAGGGCCAAAATAACGAACTAAACGTCACGAGGTTATGCAAGATATCCAGATAACCATCAGAGTTGGCAAGGATTTCAAGCAATTAAGTCATATTACTCAAGGCGATGGCTGCAAAAGTCTTTTCATAACGAACTCTAGAGAGTTGTAAATTTAATAACCCTTTTAAAATAATAAAGAATTTTTAAAAATATTATACATTAATTTAAAAATTCTACAAGCTACCGAATTATACAGGGCTGTTTAAGTTCTTAAAGAAATTAAATGTTTATAAAAGGGAAATCATGTGTAGTATAGATATATAGATATAATAAAAATATCCTGATAAAGCCTTCTGTAAATAATGTTGTTTACCAATAATAAACAAATTTTTTTGATGAATGTATCTTTTGTATGATTATAGTAATTAAATTGATTATGTGTGTGAATCGTATTTGAAAGTAAATAATATTTATAGTACTGCTGCCCATCCCTGGACTCTGGAAGACGGTTATTCTGGCACTTGAACAAATGGTGTGGAAGTCATCATCAGTATTCAAAACGTTGTGCATTCGACATTGGCGTCCTGCCGATTTCCGTTTGTTTCGGCTTGAGTGCAACATGACACTAATTAAGATCTGCGGTTTGTGACCATATCCCCGGCCATTCGAGGTTCCCTTCATAAAGTAATTCCCATAAGAATCCCCCCAAAAAACATTCCCAGTGGCATGCGCGTGATTTGTTTGTTTGGCGTCGCGGGGATGCTTTTGCAAGTTTGCCGACACCGCGAATGCAGTTTTTTTCGGGGGTCTTCTGGTGGCATATTTGTTCGGTTATTATGCGAAATTCTGCTCGATCCGGACACTGCATCTGGATCGGGTTTTTGGGCTTTTGTTTGCCATTTGCCGCCACGGCATATTCACTCGGTTGCAACCCAGTGCTGCGAACAGCAAGTCTGACAGACCTTAATTCCTTTTTACGGTCATTTTAATATCCATCAAATCGCATCGCTGCCTCGCAGCTCCTCTACGCTGGTTGCTTTTGCCGTTCCCAACTCCGATTTTCCCCCGGTTTTGCACGGTGCAGCGGCGAGCGAGCGTTTTAGCATTTCGCTCACTCGCTACCACACTTACTACACAGTAATGCTGTCGATTTTTCATTCTGCCGATTTGTCTGTGTCTGATGCGTGTTTTGCGGCTGTCAGTGGAGCGTTAATAGTGGCACGATGTATGTACTTAACTTGTACTTTCGGCACTGAAAGCGAACTGAACTGAACTGCCGGCCGGGGCTTACGTAAGACCCCTGATCTGAAAATGGAAATGGAAACGGAGTTGGAGCTACGGTTGCTAATGATATGGATCTCGGGCTACACGATCTGACTGACTTGGCACGCCCAAGTGGCATGAAGTCGTAGACGAGGGCGCACTCTATCATCAATCATTCAACCTATGCGAGCTTCTTTTGGTGAGAACTCAAGGCACTAGTACAATTTGATTGAGTTCTGCAGCTTGTAAGCTTAAATTTAAGCTAATAGCTATGAAAAGGGAATTTTGTTATGGTATAAAGACCATTAATTTGTATTTGATTAACATTAAGCATTGCTCTTAAATTAAATTAAGTACATAACTTATGTAAGCCAATTTACACTAACTATTGAGCTAGCTAGATAAGTAACATTACCTTTCTCTCTGTTAAAATATCCCCAAAAAGTATGCTACAAAATCTTCAACTTCTTAAATTTTTCAAGAATTTATCTGGCAATGACTTAACGAAACAAGTTTGCCTTTTATTTAATCAAGTACTCAAACCCATATAGGATTATCTCCCTTCCAAAGGTTTCGCGTGTGTTACTTATTATTAAGAGCTAAGATCGTTGGCTTTGGTGGTCAGTGGCCAGCGGCCAGTGGCCAGTTTCAGACCCCATCCCATCGCATCCCAGCGTCATGCTCATGATAGTCACACCGTAATGAAAACAAAATTCCTGAGCCAAGTAAGCCTCGATTACTTACTGCATTTAACACGAGCTCCGAGTGCCGGCATGATGTTTTGGCCACGACTGACTGCCGGCGAGTACGAGTGCCCAAATGGCAGCCAAGCGTGAAGGACGTACGCGCCACAAATTTGGTGGCCCAAAGCCGCAAACTGTCCAAATCGGTACACATGAAACTAATGCCGCCCAGAGCGTGTGGCTAATGGCTAATTCGGCTCTAAGGTCTGCACTTAACTCGAAGTATGACCAATGAATATTAATGAGCGGGCATTGTTAAAAATTTCGACAGTTTATTCATTCATTAAGATATCTATTTTTAATTTGATGCTGATTTGTTTGAGTTTTGTAGATTTGTTATTTTAATATTGATCTAATTGTATTAATAAATTAATTTCCGTTTGACTTCAATTAAATAGACTGCTTTATATGGTTTGATTATTGTTGATTTGTTGAATTTTTATTGATTCAAATGTAGTTTAAATTGTAATTTTTTAATCTTTAATTTCACAATTCAATAATAGTAATGTTGGTCTATATTGATGATTTCAAATGGTTAAATGCTTATTTGAAATAACGAGTTTTATAATACTTGTTGTGTTAAACTATGTAAATGATCTATAAATTACTTATGTGTTTTTCCAATGCCAAAATATACCTAAGTTATTTTCTCAACGTGTTTTACAAGCCCTTCCATTAAAATTTATTGAAAGATCTTTAAATCTTTTCAATTTATCCAGTTAAAGCAAAGTAGCACTTTGTTTTTGACACTTGAAACCTAAAATTAAGTTTTTGATTTTGGTTTTCTCACCACTATCGATACTCGACCCGAATCGCCAACAAAGTTGCGGCATTCCGCAGCAATGGTCATTTCATTCCCACACGGCAGAAATATTCCACAGCCACAGCCAAAATGCAGAATCCGAAACGGCGGCGGATGATAATGAATGGAGCGAAGCCAAGCGAGAAACCAACAGAAATTAGCTACGACTTGTGAAAATCGCTACAAATGAACTTGCGGTTTGGCATTTACGAGCTTTTGCTTGGCGGTCTTCAAAGGGCCGGATTCCGAGTCCGACCCTCTCCCACCAAAAAGCCCTCCTCGAGCGTGTGTCCAGAGTTATTTCGCAACATTGCTGCTGACTGGAGGGGATCCAGTCCAGGCGATATGGCCACGTCTGGCTGCCATGTGCAAAGGCAAAATGTATGCAAATGAATGGAAAAACCGCGTCAAAGCAAAAGCGCCGACAAACCGCGCCGATGACGAGATGACGCCGTCGCCAAAATGGCACAAAAAAAAAAAAAAAACACTAAATAAAAACCAAAGAAAAAGCCAGTAACATCCCACAAAAAAAAGTGGCTGCAAAAAGGCGATGCGCATGCGTAACAAACAACTTTATAAAGTCTGGGCTCTCCGCAAGTTTTTGGCGAGGCTGCGGCGTGAGCGGCTTGTTAGCTGATTAGTTTAGGCTGCCGCCGCCTCTAACAAGTACCATACATTCCACATAACGCCGACTGCCAGATATCCCAGAGCCGCAATCGCAGACCCTGCCTTTTGGCATTAATTAATAACATCCGGCGCCCCAATCGAATCAGAGAAAGATTAAGAGCACTCTTTGCAGAGCCGAAGCCTTAATGCTCTAAAGCACCTATAATATAAGGGAAATGCATCAAGGCTTAGTGATTATTAATAGAATTACTTGATCCCTTGATTATATAAATAAATCAGTAATAATCATTTACCAAGCAGTGCATGTTTTCAAACCTTTATTTGCCAAAATATTTTACTAATTTACTCATGCTTAATCTGGAGTACGTGAGCACCTAAACGATTTGAAATTGTTTAAAGGCGTCAAAGCGCTTCATCATAATTTAGTTATAAACAAAATTCCCATTTTAACTTTATGGGTCTCCACTCAGATTCCGATTAGATTTTGTCAAATAACGTTCAATCATCGTAAACAAATTATGCTGAAAAAGGGGGTTGGTTTCCAGTGGACTTTAGAACAACTGTGAAGTTCGGTGCACTTTATTAATCGAGTGGCTTTCATTATTTATTAGAGGAATTAACCATTGACCTCAAAAGAAAAGTAGAGTTTACTGAATAGTATATATTGCTAGTAATATTTATTAGCTGATCTTGATTTAGTTATGATACTCTTTCTCTTTAGGGCAGCTTAAAGAATCTGTAGCCCTTTTTTCCAAAGATAACTGAATCGGTTTGTTTGTTTTTTGGGACCTGTTTAATTACCCGCTGCAAAGCGTCCAAAATCTCGATCCCGATGGCGAGCTGGTGCCGCACACATGGTGGTCCCTCCATTCAGATTCAGATTCGGATCCATCGGCCTGGGAGTCGGATGTGGATGCCGCAGGAACAAACAGTTTATCGCTGGAATAACATAATTTCGCTTTTGCCGGCGACGCTGGCGATGAGTCTGCAACTGGAACTGGGACTGAGGTCTGGGGTTTGGGTTTTGGGGTTTGGGGTTCGGGGTCTGGAAGACTGGAAGGCAAGCCAACCGCAAATCTGCGCCCAAAAATTGAGCAATTTGAAATTCAATCAGTAGCCAGGAGACGTCTACTCTCTACTCTCCACTCGCCGGGCATGCAGGCAAATTATAGTAATTGAGTGAGCGGCCTCAGACTGCAACTGCCACGATGCGGCACATGAATGGGCCAGGAGGGGCACTGTGAGAAACAGTATAGCTGAGTAAGCCGGCATGTCAGACAAATATTATACACTTCGTAGAGATACTTAAATGCACTTTATATTTAAATTAAATATGAAACTGCAATAGTAATTAAAAGATTTTAAATACCTTTAATTCGGTTAGTTCATTAAGCAAATGATTTATATATATACAAATTTAATAAAGGATTTCAATTTTATTATGATTGTGATGTATGCCAATATACTTTTTGTTTATTTCTGCTTAATTTCCTATATACCTTGTATACAAATCTATGTTCAATTCTATAATCAGAAAACTAAAAGTATTTTATAGCTGCAATGTCTTAAAATAATTTAACATAATAGTGATTAGTTCTTAGACAACTTAAGCAAAGCAAAAGTCAAACCATTTTTACAATATTTATTGATTCCAATGACTAGAAATACTTTCATTTTATATTGACTAAGAACTATGTAACTCTGTTGTTGTTTTTTTTTATACAATGGATCCAAAAATGTGCTGAATTCATCTGTGGAGGAAGATGTTTTTTAAATAAGCTTATGATTTCTTTCAGTGTAACTTCGATGGGCTCTGCAAGACCCTGTGGGGTCGTGACTGTTGGCGGTCGCCTCACACGAGGTCCGAACATGGGAGTCCAGGAGCCCAAGAGCCCAGGAGGCGATGGAGACCCGTGCAGCTGGTCGAAATATGGAAATGAGCTGCGGCTCAAAAAAACGAAAGCTCACGTAAGTGACGGCCCACCAGAGTGGACCTATGTACCTGGGGTCCTCTGGCTGCACGCGATCTGAATCTGCACTAGCCCCTCGATTCCCTCGATTCGGTCTGCATTTTTCATGGCCCAGAGTGTCTTCCTCCGTTTTTATCGCCGCTTGGAAAACTTAGAACTGGGTCAAGTTTATCGAGCAGCGCATTTATCTATTACAGAACAGTGCCGACTGTCTTTATGGCCGTGTGTTTTTGTCGTTTATCAGCTTTTCCCTATGATAATTCCGACCTTGTGGCTGCGCGTGGCATCAAAGTAATTGCGGAATTTCCCCCGCTTGTAAATTGCTCCATTTGGTTGGACTCGCACATTCTATATTACATTTCGCGTTTTACTTTGGGAAATTTTCGTAATCATTTTTCTCGTTTGCGGCTTGTTTTTATTTGGGTTATTCTGTCGGCTTAACTTCCATACATATATTTTATTTATGCATGAAATTGTTAGTCTATTGTCGACTCTTGCCCCTCAGCTCACATTTAGTGAATTTGTTTGTTCGTTTAACGAAATTAGCAAAGTCAAGGGAAGTTTATTGACCGAATAGAATGTTTTCGTGAATCATAAGGAATTGAATAAATGGGAATGATAGAAATCAAATTAAACATAAATAATAGAAATAAACGTATTCACAAATCGGAAATACAAGATATTTGTTAAATTAATATCAAAATAAAACGTATATGGTTTCAAAATAGACTCTTTTGTATGGAAATGAAACTGAAAAGTATAGGGCTTATTTTATTAAGTAATGAATAATTATATATACTTCAATACTGTCTGTTGTTTATTTACAAGACGCACTTGTTTAAACTTCACTTTCAGAACATTTTACTATTAGTAGATAAACAAAAAGACAGCTAGAAATACTATCTGTTTAACTGAAATATGACAGTTATTTTAAAAAGATGTTGGAATTAATTTTCTTATAAGCTTATATTCGGTTCTCCTTGATTACCTTGATTCAATGTCAAAGTTATTAAAACTACAAACTATGATAAGAAGGAGGATTTCAATGCTACACCTCCTCAGATATACCTTATCGATCTTAGAGTCTTAGAACTGACATCCCAGTGACATCAATCGGTATCAGGAACCTTGAACAGAACTTCTCGAAGGCCTTATATCTGATATGTGAGGTTGTGGGTACTCTTCCATCTACCGACGTCATCAGCAATAACAATTAAGCAGGCCATTTACCGTTAAGCGACCCTCAGAGTTATCAACACCACTTCACACCCATCGCACGAAAAATAAACTAAAAACTGAAAACTGAAAGGTGAAAAACAGAAAACAACAAAAGGAGTTGGGGAGGTTGTTTCAACTTTTATTTCGGGGCGTTAAAATTGACAACGTAAATTGCGAAAAACACAACGCACTGCGGAAGAGAGATCCTCCTTGGAAACGGCGGCGAACGTGCAGCGACTTCACACTTTCAAAGTAATTTTAACACATTTCAATTAAAAAGGAACGCTGCCGTTGCCGCCGCCGTTGCCTCCGCGGGACTTGTAAAATTTAATTAAAAACCCTTTAAGGATAACCGAAGTGAGAGCACGTAACGCCCGGTTATTTGGTGTGGCAGCCTTAATTGAAGGTGCCACCGATCTCCCCGCAATCCACCGATTTGGCAATGGAAACGCTATTAAAAGGCCGTCATAACCAGACTCTTGGAACACCAGGACAGGAGTGTTATTGTTTTCGATTTACGACAGCCATAAATCAATAGCTTAATTGATAACTTGACGCTATTTACGATGACACAAATTAGAATTTGTGCGGACAGTTTATGACACGAAGTCGGTTGGTCGGTCGGTTGGTCGGTTGGTTGGTCGCTCGGTTTGGGGGACAACGGGTGTTAATGGAGTCGACTTTTCACAAGTGAGTGCCCCCCTCCACCCCCTCCGGCATGACTGGGTCGAAACTTTTCCACACTCGTGGAAGCTTTCCAGCCGATCCCATCATTCTTCTCGGCCCCGGTCACGTTTTCGAACAAAAAGCTACGGAAGATTTTCAGCGCACATCTCCCGACGTCATCATTATCAGCAGTGCGTTGCCAAGCAATCAACACACTCACACTGGCCCACAAAAGAGCCATTTGGTGTCATAAATTGGCTTTATCAAAGACTTAACACCCCCAACGGGCGTCCTCCGCTTTCCTCATCTTTCGGAGCTCAACCCCCTCCCCTGGATCACGACGCGATCGGCTGCAACACGTGATACCGCCGAAGGTCGCGTGACAATAACAAAGTCTTATAAATTATATAGTATTAGAGCGGCCAGTCATCGCTTGATAATGACAGACGCTCCGGCGATAAGGCCGTCCGTCGGGCGAAAACAAACTGGCACAACAGCAGCGAGGCTTTTTATAGAGACCAATCAGCAATCAGCAATCAGCGGGTCTCACTTGCGAGCGGCGTGCGCGGCGATAAGGCCGAAACAGACCCAAAAACAGGGGGCCCATCGAAAGTGCTCGCTCTATGTGTGTATATACTCTGATCGGGAAGGGGTCCCATGGCCCCAGTGGCGGGGTTAGCTACTTGCGAGATAGACTCCCAGATGGAATGCGGTGCACTTTGATTTATGGGTTTTATTTTATTCAAATCGGAGGATTCTAATTGTTCCGAAATGTTGAAGATGCCAACACAATCTTAGTTTATGAAGGTTTAAAGATATTTGAAATTTAAAAAATTTATTTGAATTGGTACTTTATTGCAGTATTTTGTAGTGCTAACTATTTTTTAGAGATGCGACTGGCACGTAAACATATAGGCCTATAAATTGCATTCTGTTTTTGCGTGAGATAGTGGTATGAGATAAGGGTGTTTTTGTTTTTAGCAGTAGTGTTTTGAGGTTTGGAAAATTTCCTAGATGACAAAGTGAGAGTATTTTCTGTTCGCGTTATCAATGATGAAGGCAGAATTCCGTTGATTTGTTGTGCGAAACGAGCAAAGCCAACAAGCGATCCAACGAAACAAACAAACAAATAAAATATGAAATGCCATGGAAAATTCCCTAAAGGCACAAAAATATTGCCCAATCCAAGGCGATTCTTTCGAATTTAGATGCCAACTTAATAGTTGCGGATGCAAAGATGCGTCGCCAACGCTTTAGATTGAAGATTCTGGAAAGTACGATAATGTACTTGTATATATGTACACATCGGAGATATGTCAAGTTGTATGCCAAGTCACGGCTTTCATGACTCCACCGACAGCTCCGACATTCCTCCTGCTACCGTTGAAAAAATCGTGAAGATCGAACCAGTTTCGGGTCAGCAGGCTGTCACTGTCACATTTGTTGTTGCTGGTATTAGGTATTTGGTATTCGGTATTCGGTATTAGGTATCTGTATTTGTTTCTATAATACCATTGACGTCAAGCGAATGGACCACCAAAACAATTAAAATGGAATTAGAAAAGTCTCGCGACGTTGTCCCCACATCTGGCACCAAGTCGGGGTTAGTCTGCTCTATGCTAATTCCCCGCAAATATTTATTCCGTCAGGGTAGCCATACAATATTAATAAGGCGAAGATTCTGAATAGTTTATACTAGATTATACCTGACTGTTGTTCTGCTTCCCTCCCAAAAACATATACTCACTATTTTTCAGCCAAGTCTCATAAATATTCATTAGCAAAATACTAGTTGCTGTGGCGCTTCGAAAAATATTTCAAAGGCCCCTTGGCAAATATTCTCGGTGCTGGCAGAGTTGATTCAGAATTTGTTGGCCTACATTTAAATGTAAGCATTTTCTGATATAACTAAATGGGAAACATTTCCTCTTAGTTTTCTCTAGAACATGACTATACTTATTTTAAATTTACGGGGGTTTCTGCACTCAGCGAGCATAAAAAGTCCCCCAAACATTTCTTCAAGTCATCGTTACTAAACCACAAATCCCAACCTCTTATCGATTTTATTCATTCATTTCCAGTAGTTATACCAGAATACCAGTTGTTTTTTATGCATATTAACAAGCCATATGCTTTCATATATATAAGATATCAGTTCTACAGACTTCATACGATCGGTAATTTACCAGCTCCAAGCGAGCCCCATAAATTTAATTCATAAGCTCCACCCAAGAATTTGCTGAGAAAAGAATCAAAACTCAGCCTCAAACTGATTATCAAATAATACAGAGGATATATGTGTGGATGTCTGGCACATATTATAATGCGGCAGCGAGAACCAGTTGAAAAATTAGACATCAAAAGTGGTTCTGGTTTATGGGGAATGTCGCGTGAAAAGAAATACACATTTATGCAAAAAATCTGGGTAAAGAAATATTTTTGAAAAGATACATTGAGCGCAACAAAAGAAAAGAATTGTTTGAAACTGGTTTGGCAGGCGCGGCCTTTGTTTTTTTTTTTTAAATATTAATCTAAATGAATGTTAAACACTTTTATCAGAGGAAAGAACCGGTGGCGGGGGGGGCGTGGCGAAGGGAAGTAGGGGCGGCGTACAGCACGCGTCATTATCAAATGCCTTGTGATGATTACTGCTGTGCTGAAGTTTTTTGTTTTTCGCTGCCACCAGCCGCATTTACGTCAGCAACTGGGCAGGTGGGGTTAAGGTGGAGTATACTCTTGGTAAATATATTCCTTGGTCTTCTCCTCCATTTACTCGCCTTTCTAGCAGCCTTGCTTTGCTTTGGTTTTCATTGAATTTCAGCTTGCACCCTTCGTATCGGTCGATCTGTCAATATTTGCAAGTCACTTTCATGTTTGCCTTGCAAAAAATAAAGAAACGAAAAGAAAATAAGCCTGGAGAGCTGACAGAAACAGATCCGTTGGCTTGTTCAAGAGTCGTTGACGCTCGAACCCGGCGCGAAAAGCAAAACGCAGTCAATATTTGTGCGCGAGCACTGGGTGTGACATTACTCATACGCACCGCTGGCACGGCTGGCCGCATTAGAACCTGCAACCGACTAATTAGCTGCCATCCGACTGCACAAACAGTAGGGCTGGGCAAACAAATACGAATACGAATGCGATGTATTTGTTTGCCCACCGATTGCCCCGATCGGTAGTTTGAAAGTAGTTCGCACCTGCCCGAACTAAAAGAACCCATGGAATTTACATGGAAATCAATGCTGTACGGATATTTACATAAATTGCCAATGCCGAGGATGAGTTTGCCTTC